TCTTTCTGTAATTTAGTTAAACTTACTCCACTTTTGTAGTGCTGGTAAAAAACGAAATCAAGAACAAAAATTAAGCAAAAATAACTTTTAAAAAAGTTAAATTGTTTCAACATTTGTTGAAAATAGAGGGGTAATTGTAGTAAACTTTAGCTTTATATTTTACTAATGGTAGAGGTAGACCACAAGATTCTTAGTAAAAAAAAAAGAAACCTTGCTTTGATCCAAACTAAGAAATGACTTTATACTCTGTGAGGGAATTTCCAGTTTTGGATATGACATTTGAATTATCTTACTTGCATAAAAAAAAAGCATAGTTCATATTGTTTAATAAGATCTGTGTGTTGTATATTCAGAGTAGCATTGCATTTATTTTTAAGTAAAACCACTGTGCAGTTTTGAACTATTCATAAATTTACAAATGAAGAATGCATGTGTATCTTACACATACAAATCATATTCTTCATCTGTAGAAGCACGCGTATGCTTCATCTAAGTAAAATGTTCTACAAAGAAAAGTTTTTCCCTGAGCATAATTTGAGTATAAACTAATAAATTTTTAAGAACTTGTTTTCTGTCTTCTTCTGTACGTGACAGTAAAAGAATTGATTTTTGTTTGTTTGTTCTTGTAGATGTTAATTTTCAAGGAGAAGATGGACTTGTTCCTCTCCACTTTGCAGCTAGATATAAAAAACCAGCTAAAAGAGAAGTAAGTGATATTTTATTTTTATGTTGTTGTCTGTGTGAAGAGAGAAGTAGGTATTTTTCCATGTGCTAAGAAAAGACAAAAACAATAGAATTCAGGGCAAAACAATATCTAATTCAGTAATAAAGGTTAGTAACAGGCTTCTGTAAAGCTGATGAATTGGTTAAATAAAACATAGTTTTTTGTATAGTCTGTGTGTTGCTGTCCTGCCAAGAATGAGATGCATTTACTTCTGGAAGAGAGGAAATTCAAGGAAAAAAAAACAACAAACAATAGTGAATGTAGAGTGGCATTTAAAGCCCTTTTGATGCATAATTGCATATAACAACCTTTATTCTACCAAAGACACATGCACAAGAATTGGTAAACAACACTCGTTGTTCATAGAAAAAATATAATATCAGGACTCCACATTATTCATATATGATGTATCAATCAAGGAAGATGGCACAGATGCTGTAACAGGAGAACTCAAAACATGTGAAGATAGTATTTAAACTTATGAGATGTAAAATAAAAACTTGACTTAGTACTATCAAATAATTTTATTTATTTTATAATTCTTTTTACCGACAACAAATGGGAGTTGTCATCTTGCATCTACTTTTACCATCATTTTCATGCTCTCTCTTGAAATAAATCATCTCTCTGAAAGTCCTCTTACGTTGGTATTCTATACAAAATATATAGATGACATATTTTTCATCTGAACTTGTGGTCAGGAGGGTCTCAGTGAAGTTTTTGTTTTCATAAATGAATTTCACCCATAGTCTAGTTTACCATGAACACCTTAACAGAAACAGGATTGTTGCCATTCCTGGATATTTATCTCATGTTGAGCTGTGATGATTTCCTAACACATTATTGTACATCAAACACACACACACACACAGTGGTATCCTTTTAAACTGTGATTCTGTACATCTGCTTTCAACAAAACAGTCAGTTGTTCAATCGTAATTGTTGCAAACTTTTCGTAATGCCTCTAATGTTACAGAACAAAGGAGTATAGATAAAATTAAACATCACCTTCAGTAATATGGATACACAACTCACGCCAATAATAAAGCAAAAACAAATACATGGAAAGAAAAATTGCCCCAAAATTATATTGGAGAAACATTTAGACCTTCATATCAGAAATGCAAAGAAAAGAGATGATTATCAGCTTTTCCATTCACACTACATTCTTAGCACTATCCCTACTCTCTAATATTCCTTTAACAACAGATATTGTTTCAAAGACTTTAAACTATGTTTATACAAAAATAACATGATCACTACTTCAATAAAGTCAAACCTTTTTGGTGATAAATATAATTTTTAAAAAATGTTTGGAATAAGTACTCCATCTAGAGGCTCCGATACTTTTTTATATTTTCTATGAACATCAGTATTGTTGTTGGCCAAATCTAGAATGGAATTCCTGAACATGTTTTGACAAATAATTTTGTCTTTTTTTTTTAAGGTTCCTAGTGAAATGATTTTGGATTAACTGTTGTTAAAATATTATTTTTTACTGCGTCAAATATATATTATGTATAAAAAAATCTTAGTATATGAAATCATGCTGCCACATACATTGACACAATGTGTGAATGTTGCATTTAAACTTGTTAAAAGATGACTGTCCCAATAACTTTTTTTTTGAAATAGAAGTATTCATGTATTAATATTAAATTCTGATTAGCAAGGTACCTACTTAGAACAAAGCCTCCCCCCATTGGCTCAGAGGTAAGTCTGACTTATAATGCTAAAATTAGTCAAATGTACATATTATGTATATAAAAAAAAATCTTAGTATATGAAATCATGCTGCCACATACATTGACACAAATCAAAATTAGCAAATGTGGCTTTTCCTCTAACCATTATAACTAAATGCACCTTAAAATATCTATTTTATTGGTCTAGGAATGAAATACAGATATGGCTACTGCAAATATCAAAGAGTTTTAAGATGAATTTAAGCTCAGAGGGAAATCTGTTTCAAAAACCTGGCCAGTTTAATTTATCTGACCAATGCAGCATAGTAATGATTGTATTGTAAAATAATCCAATTGTTCATTGCAACATTTTGCTAACTTTTTGTAGCTCCTGTTCTTGTTATTATGTGAAAGAGCATATGTAATAGATCAAGACCTCATTCAAAATAATCTTTTAAGACGTTTACATTTCTTTTTTTATAATGTTAATTATAGTGCTTTTTGAATCCGATACTGCTGATTGGAAAAACAATAATGAAAAATAGCATTTAATTAAGTTTACTCTCCAGTTGAATGTGTTTATTCATCAGTTTCAGTTGTTTGGTTTCTTCAAAATAAATATGAGTAAAACATTGTCACATTTTTTTGTGAAGTGGGGGATGGGGTTGGGGAGGGGAATTGAACCCAATATCAGCACCCAATTCTGTGTATGAATGTTGCATTAAAATTTGTTAAAAGATGACTGTTCCAGTAACTTTTTTTGAAATAGAAGAATTCATGTATTAATATTCTGATTAGCAAGCTATCTACTTAGAACAAATACCCTTTGTGGGCACAGCGCAGATAGCCTGTTATGTAGCACAACAAACAAACAAACAAACAAGTTCAGATCAAAAGTGAAAGTCAACCCAGTATTGAATATAGCTGATTAAAGCTATGATGAAAGAATTGGTACAAAGGATAATCAGATCAAGTAGATTTCAAATAGTTAGAAACTCGATTGCTTTCAAATGATTTCCAGAGTGAAAAAAAAAGGCTAAAGGTTAAAGAGTGTGTGCTAATAAATATGAAAAAATTTACACATCACATGAGCAGGAAGTGTTTGTCAAGATGACAGTGAAAGCTGACCAATCCCAATTCAAGAAGGTTTGTCATTAGGCAACGGAAATGTTGAGGGCATGTTTCTCATTCAAAGTAACATACTATTGAATAGTATGATGAATTATGTGCTTATATATAATAATAATAACTATCATCTAATGTATAAAGAGAGAAAATAGTTTATTCAAAAGCACTTTAATCTAGGAATCAAACCATAAGAAATATGCAAAAAATGTTAATTTCAAATAAAACTTTTTTATATTATTTATTTATTTTTTTAAGGAATGAAAAACAATAAAGCAATAGAATAGAATAAAATGTGGAATAACCCTTCTTTGCTTATTTATAAATTTATTAAGAAAGGAACACAAGTTGACTACCTTTAGGTTAATAAATAAGGTGCATAGAAATGAAATAAGTTACTATTGGATCTTTTTTTTTAAAAAAACTTTACTTAGGTCAACAATTCCAGGATCAAGATTTATGCCATTTGGCATTAAAATATTTAGAGTTGCCATGCAGAAAGGTTTCTTAATTTCTCTATCTAATTTTGATGTGAAACCAATGTCTGTAGCTATAACTTTAATGATGGGAAGGTCAGGCATGTTATAGCTCTTAGCAACAGGAAGTTCTTTGTTTGTGGTAATCAAAGACTTGTGATTGGTGATATGTTCTCTTATAGTTGTGCTGATGTGTCCCACGTACTAAAAGTTACATTTCTAACAATAGATTAAATATACAGCATATTTAATGATGCAAGTTATGGGTTTTATGATTTTATGTTGTTTGTGGTAGTCTTTATCAGAGAACTGGTTTGTATGAAACTTTGTAGAATGGGCGGCAACTGCCTGTTGTAGAGACATAAGTGTAGAGATCGACATTTCAAAAATCTTCTGCCTTTCATTCTCTACACGTGTGTCTCTACAACAGGCAGTTGCCGTCCATTCTGCAAAGTTTCGTCATGAATACTCTGCCTAAACAATTTATCAAAGAATTGGTTTGTATGTTGCATACACTTGCAGATTTGGCAGTGTTTGTTATTACCAGGATAACTTCCTCCTCGTGGGTGAGTGGTTAAAGTTGACCTTAGCATGAAATAAATGGGACTTTGAAGGGTTTTTTTCCAAAAAGGAACAATAGGAGTGTCAGAATTTAAAATATAATTTTTTTTACCAATTGTCAAAATAAAGGCTTTTACTTATACTTCTTAATAGTATAAATATATAATGTGTTGTTGTTTGGCTTAGGATTATTCTACAGTAGGTGTCTGTGACTTGTTGATGATAAATTCAACTATAAATGAACACCATGCACTTCACTTGTTTTCAAAATGATATATACATGTATATATATATATATATATTAAGAACAAGTTTAGACATATGTACAACAAATACTTCACACTATAGAGATTATAGTCATATCATAAACACTATATATATAGTTCTCTTCTTCTTGTCAAAAGTCCACTTAGGCCTATTCAATTGCTTTAGAATTTCAGTTGACAAGCCAAACTATCTTCTCTATTACTATCGCACTAGTATTCTGTGTGTGATTCACTTACAATTGTGACACAAATTACCATCGTTTAGTCTTTTTTCTTCAAAATATCCTCTGTTCCTTTAGTCAAAGTGTACTCAGACTAATTCAATTACTTTAGAACGACACTTTTAGTTGTACTCTTACATGTTAAACGTTAGGCCTATCACTTCTACGGTAGTTAACTTCGCACCTAACTTTTCCTTGCCAGCAAATTTACTCTCTTCTGCTATTGTCTGTCTGCTGTTTCCACTCGTCTCACGTTATTTATATCTCTCACTTAATCATCTGCCTGCCTTCTAGAAATCTCTATATTCTCGTAGTCAATGTATTGCAAGCGATGGTCGATAGTCTCAACATCAATGACTTATAAACACAACTTCCTCCAATTGACTGTTTTTAACTCTTATTATAACAAAAACTAAACAGTAATAAAATATTCACTCACAAAAATAAATTAATCAATAATATCTAAACTAAACAGTCTTTTATATCATGATAAGGAGCATTAAGAAAAATTTATTTTAGTTGACCATTAAGCTGCAGGAGATGAAGGTACTTCTTCGGGACCCAAGGTAGGTTTTTCAGTTATAGGTGATAGGTAATAACCAGTGGAACACAAGGGAAGCTTGTGTGTGATGAATTTTTTAAGGCATGACCAGTGAATTTAAATCTAAATGTGTTCATTTTAATATGTGATTTTTGTTTATTTATAGTTAGCAAACACCCCTCATAATGATGAAGATGCAAAAGATGATGCTTTCACTTCAGTGATTAAAATTCTTGAATCTTCAGGGGCAAATGTGAACTCCAAGGACAAATATGGGATGACAGCTCTACATTATGCAGCAATGCGAGGAAATGAACTAGCAGCAAGAGAGCTTTTGGACTGTTCAGAGATAAACACAGAGGTACCAATTATTACTTTATCTGATCTGTTCATGTGAAATATAATGGCATGTTGTAAGTTTACGTGAAAAATACCTTTTAGTTTTTCCTGTATCTAATCAATATCTCAAGAAATGCTAAATGAATCTAATGTAAAAACATTGAAATGAGTAATTTTATTAGTATGATCTGCAGTTGTCATCTATTGGAAAAGAAAATTGCAGATTTTTTGTCATTCGTTGTTTTAGTTTCTTGAAACTACAAAGACAAGATATTTTTAAAGATGTTTTCTGCAATTTCTGTAACTTCTTTTTACTTGCAAATTGAAAATTCATGTTAAAGGGCATGTAAAATTTTAAGCAGTCAAAAATATTCATGAAAAAAAAGTGTTAGAAAGTGTATTTAGTTTAATAATTTAGACTTCTTTCAGTTTTGTGTTTTCCATGGTACAAAATCTAAGTTTGTTTGCAACCATTTTTGTTTTATACTATTTCATTGAAATATAATTATTAAAATGTGCTGTCTCAAACACTGAAGCCATGGGTCTGAAGGTACAAGGTTCGATATACAATATGCCAGTGAACATGCCTCACACTTTTAGCTGAAGGAATATTATAACTGACAGTCAACTCCACCATTTGATTAATAGTAGCCATATAGATAGCAACTAGTTGATCTCCCTGTACTTAGCAAATCAAAATTAGTGATGGCTATGCTTGAACTCCAGGGACTTGTTTCCTAGGTATTTAGCTTATATGTCCAGTTTGAAAATACTAAATATCAACCTGTTCCAAATTAAATGATTGCATCACTCAAGTGTAGACAATTCTGCTATACAACAAAACCTGACATGTCATTATTCATTATAAATTACAAAAATGGTCAACTTTATAACTTATCTCTTCATTCATTTCTTTGACCAAAAGATAAAATTCATCAAGTCAAACAAGTGATAGGGTTATAACAGGTATTCGTTTAATATTCAAGATTCAGACCATACAGTTGACTTGCAGATATTAGTACCAATTTAGCAGCTGAATAGTTAAAATTCTCAAATCATTTACCTAACATCTGTTATAGGTACTAAGAAGTAGTGTAGGAAACTCTAAATTATAAATAATGAACAACACAAAATTAATTAACAACTTTATTAATGTAGCTTAGAAATAACATAAATGTGATTTGTTTTTAATAAGAATTACAAAAAATTATTATTATGAATAACACATGTTTTTGTATTTGTTTGCATAAATGTTTTTATTCTGTTAGGTAGACTAACCTCTGAAATAGTAAATGCATTTTCTTTTTGAGTTGTTTTCATGTTGTCAGAACCATGGGACTTCAAAATTCCAAATTAAAATCCTTCACATAATGCAAAGTATATATATCACCTTGCCTGGAATTCTTCACTCTCCCACATTGCAGGTGACGTATTGTGCATACATCAGTATAATGTACATGAGCCCTGACTTCTCACCAAAAAGCAGTATTTCTTGTTCAATATTGAACTGATAACTTTTTATTATTTACAAATATTAGGAATTTTTCTACATCTGTAGAGGCCTTACTCTCACAGTCTTCCTCTAGCATGAATTATCCAATTTCTTTGGCTAGCTGTTTCTGTAAGGTTTTGGAGAGGATGGTTAATGTTCATCTTATTTCATCCTCTCACCCACCTAATGTAGTTTTTGTCAACAGTGCTCAATCATGGACCACCTGATTTGCCTCGAAACCTCAATCAGTGAAGCCTTCCTCAAGAGAGAGCACCTTGTTTCTGACATCTTTGATCTTGAGAAGGCTTATGATGCTACATGGAGGTTTGGCATTTTGTGGGACCTCCACTTCTATGGGTTGTGTGGCCATTTACCCATTTTTATTTGTAACATTTTACTTGACAGGCAATTCCAATTCTGTGTGAGTTTTACCTTTTCCTGTCCTTTCACACAGGAACTTGGAATCCCTCAAGGTTATGTCTTTAGTGTCATCCTTTTCAGTATCAAAATCAATGTTATCACTAAACAACTTCCTCCTGTTGTAAACAGCCTATGTCAATGATTTCTACATATCTTGTTGGTCGTCAAACATGAGGATTATTGAGCAGCAACTTCAGACAGCCCTCACTCGCTTGTAGAGGTGGACCACAGCAAATGTTTTACCTTTTCTTCCTCTAAAACCACTTGCTGAATCCAGTGACAGTTCATCCTGCCATGGCTCATTACCACCCCCACCTGTGACCTTTCTTTGAGTCATCTGAGGAAGGCAGATACTCCCAGTTGGAAATACCATCTTCTCTTTGCCAAACATCTTTCAAATCATTTATCTGTTCCCATTTTTACGGATGGTTCTAAATCAGGTGAATCTGTGGGCTTTGGCATAGTTTGTTGTGGCTCGGTGGTTGCTCACAAAATCCCCTCAATCGTTTCTGTGTTGACTGCTGAACTGTATGCCATTTCTCTTGCCCTGGATCACGTAGAAGCTAAGCAATACATTAACTGTATTATTTACATTAACTTTCTTAGCTCTCTGTTGGCCCTGGAATTGGTTAATGTAATTTCTCACCCTGTTCTTGTCACTATTCAGAAACAACTGGCCCATTTTTGACTGTCTTCTGTCTTTATCTAGTTTTTCTGGATTCCTGGCCATGTTGGTATTTGTGGGAATGAGCTTGTGGCACCGCAGCTAAGTCTGTCTTCTCCGGTGCTATTACAGCTGTGCCTGTCCCATATATGGACTATGGTTCTGTGTTCAAGGCCCAACTTCACACCAGTTGGCAGTCAAATTGGGGTGAGCAACTTCATAACAAGCTTTTCCAGATCAAACCTACTGTTATTTTTTTGGCTGTATAGTTTCTGTAAGGATTGACAGGAGGAAATTGTCTTGTGTAGGCTATGCATCGGTCACAGTTTTTTTACTCATCATTTTCTTTTATATGGGACTCATCTGCCATGTGTGGCCTTTGTGACACTCAGGTCACAACTGCCCACATTTTAGACATGTGTTTTCTCAGGTTTTACCCTTGATGTTGGACAGTGTCATTAGCAATGGTGACACTGTCCAGCTTGATAGTATTTTTATTTTCTTATGGGCCATTGGCCTTTTTGGATCTATTTGAGTTACTTACCTGATTTTTGTTTAGCTTTTAACTTTATTTCTTTTTACTTTGTGTAGTGTTTTACTTCTTGTTTTTATTTTTATATCAGTTGTTTGGTACAAATAGCTATTTTGCTTTGTGCCAATAAGCTCCAACAACCAACCAAACAACCTCATTCTTGCAGCCTCTATTTTGCAGCATTTTCTCTACTACTTTTTGTTTTCATTCTCAATATCTTCATCTACAAACTTGTCATTTCTTATGCTTGAACAGTTTAGTAGACTCTTCCTTGGGATCATCAGATCCAAATTATCTGGCTGTGGATGCTCTGTCTCTAATTTGGGAGAGCCTTATTCTTTATGCATACTGTCCTCTCCATCTTCTTCATGTGCTCACCAGGATCAGTTACTAGGTCCTGCTTATCACTTCACTTAGCAATTTAGCCATGGTTTCCCCTATTATATCAACTTTCTAATGGAGAACCTGTCCCATTACCACCTGTTTATAGCTGGCTGTTATTAGCTCCTTTATCCAAGAAGCCAGATTATTTTATAGAGTGGCTTATACAGTGCTAGTCCTCTCTTGGTGATATTCTTCTATAACAGTCTATCAATCCTATTGAGCTACCTGCAGGAGTAAATGCTCATGGCTTATCAATTCCTCCCATTGCTAGTTACAGAGTTACTTTTTCTGCCACTTTCATATGCCATGGAAGCCATCCATCTCTTTTGTCCCCATTGTTGAATAACCTCTTCCAAAGCTTTTCTTCTTCAGTGGCTTAGACACTGTCCTAAATGGTACTTGGGTTTATTCTATTATTTTCTAGCATCTTCCCCTTTTTGAGCCCTTAGTGGCATGCTCACTGTAACATTTGTTTCTCTTTTATCTTTTATTGATAGCGTCAGGCAGAAAACATTTCCAATATCTATGTCCTTGATGCTTCACATTTGGGCTGCAAGAGAAAGTGTTAATTTCTTCACCTGCTTTGTTACATATCATGACTGAACCTGATTCTCATTCTGAATAATGGTTTTATATCCAGTTATGGCTGTTCATTATTATCTTGCCCATAATGAATTGTTTGAGAAAGTCTTAGAAAAAGTTGTTTATTCCGTACAACAAATCATGCTTTTTGGATCTTGCTCCACCTAAATTGACAAATTGTTATGTGCCATTAATCTATCTTTTATCATCATATTTCTAAATTCCACAAAATTGAATTTCATGTTGAATCTCATCGAATTTGGCATCCCACTCACAGTACCCTTTGGAGAATATCTTGTGGTGGCATGTAGACCAAATGTGTTCTTGAAATTTTATTTACATCATATTGCTACCTTTTCAGCTTCAGGATTCTGTTTGATTCCAACTGTGATTATTCAAGCCAGATGAAATCCCTAGAAGTTAGTTATTCTCTGTTACCGGCTTGTTTACCACACTTATGTTTATTCAGTGCCCTTGTTACTAGTTCCAGGGGTGTCTAAAGTTGAGCAATAAATATACATAAAAAAGTCTCTCCTTATGATATGATACGTCATGTATGAAATTGTCCAACTGGGACTCTGGCATGTCGAATATGCTTCTGCATTTGTCCTAGATGAAATTCCACCTTCTATGCTAGAAGCTTCATGAAAGGGTTATTAAATCAAGAAATGGGTAGAGGATGCCATCTGGTGGCTGATGATGCCTCAGTGATACTTTTTCCCAACTGCATATACACATCCTTGTAGAGTATTCAAGATGTCAGAGATGTTTTCTATATGATGCCTCATAGCTCAAGCAAGATGGGGATCACCTCATATCTTTATATTTTTCCATAACCTTAATTGTTGTTCCTATTGCATCTTCATCAAATTATCAAGCCCATTCTTGCATCACCAGAGGTCTTTTTAATTCTTCCTAGTTGCCCACTGACTAGGCTGATTTCCTGACTTAACTTCTCAGAGTAGAATGAAAGGGGCCTTAGCTGCAGGAGCATGTCCAGTCTTTAGTTATTACTGATCTCCTCCTCTGATAATCTTCCACTTCAGGTACAGGTTGATCCTGCTTACCTGTTACATCACCACCTGTGACATCTCCTAAGAAAACACTAGTTTTTTTATTACTGCCTAACTGACATTAATTAATATATATATATATATATACATCTTATTAATTGGTGTCCAGGGTGAGGTGGTACCTTGCTGAAACAAATTCCTTTTCTGAGTATACTCACTTTATTCCACCAACCTCATTGGGGCTGGACAGCTCCAGTAAGTTTTTCAGTGTATGCAGTCCATTGACCTTTACTCTGATTTTGAATTCTACTCAAACTCTGCTTAACCACTTATTTCATTTGTTGTGGTCAAGGTTGTCACTTTCCTGCTTAAGAACCTTTTGGAGAACTGATGTTCCTTGTGATCCTCTTCAGTTCCCTCCATCATTTAATCATAGGTATTCTGGCAGCTTTTAGTATTTCATAGGTAAATCTTGTTTTAAATTTTACAGTTTCAGCATTAAAATGAATTTCAAACAGGTATTTACCTCTGAAATGCATTCCCACTCATTTTTCCACAACTATGTTATTATCATCATGCTTGGAACCCAAGAAATCTAGATTTAGGCAGGAAAGCTTATGTTCATCTGTTCTCCTAATGCATATGTAATAAGCAACATGGTAGGTTGGAGAGTGGAGAATTCTGGGTAAGTTGACCAATGTTCTGTATTGCATAAAGGATATTCTGAATTTGAAGCCACAGGGTTGTTGACAGCATGAAAGCAACCCAACAAGAAAAGGTTTTTAGAATTTTGGAAGCAATTACCTGTTTGAAGTTAATTTTTATTCTAAAAATGTAAAAGTTTAGATACTTCCAAAAACAAATTGTCCTGCTTTCTTTTGTCAAACAATCTTATTAAAATGATATGAAATAATTTGAGTATGGTAAGTATATATTATTACTTTCTTCTAAGCAATCATCATAATCTTTATCAGTCTAAGTCTATTCTAGTCAGTATTTACTAAGTAATTACCCATGAGCAACACTAGATTTTTGAAGTAATTTAGTATCAATATATTTATTTTAATATATGGTACTGCTTTGCAGTTCACTTTAAAACCACCAGCTTCTTCAAAGTAGTCCCACTCAAGACTTTTGCATTTTAAATCGCTCAAGGTAATCAGTGAACACAGAGGTTATCACTGAATCACACTCTTCACACCACTGATAGCAATTTCCAACTAAATCAAAATCTTGGAGGTCAGAATGACTTATTTACAAGTAAAACAATTGATAAGATAGCACTTGCTGACAAGTTACAATGTGCTTATATATTTCAGAGCAGTTATGAATCAATTAATTCTAATTATTATAAGATTTTTGTCTTTTGACTTTGCATGCACCAAGTTTGAATTGTATATTAAATTATCTATATTAATTACTAGATTAATATTTAGTTCAGGTTTGTATAGGTATGTTGTCTTGATCCAAGGTTAATGATAAATACTACAGGTTGAAATTGAAAGAAATGTGGACATGTCCATACAAGATTAGACTGTTCATAGAATTATTTTGTCTCCATTTAGAAATATTGACAGTTTTCAACATCTTACAGGGCCAACAACAGTATGAGTATTCACCTGGAATTATTATATGTCTTTCATGCATTTACTGTTATTGTTTACTACTTAGTCTGTAATTTGTTTGCCTTTTTCTGAAATTTCATATTTACTTTTGAATCTATTTGTATGCCCCATAGTTTCCATCGTCTTGAGAAACAATTGAGACTGTTTGTTTAATTAAATAAATATGTCAGAAGAATTGGAATCCATACAACATTGGGAGGTAAATGTAATAAAATAAAATTACTGTAAAATCATATATATTAAGCCTGATGTCACTAGACAAAATAAAGCTGTTTCTATTTACCATTGTGTTTTTACTTTGATTTTATTTTACCGAATAAATACATCGACTATTCAGCACCCAAATATTTATTTATTAAGTCAAAAGACTTGGCCATATATTTGGTAGCTTGCCAAACACTATTAATTACATCTCTAACAACTGTAACATTTTGGAAGTTTTTTAGTTCAATGTATTTTAATAGTTTACTCACTTTTAAGTTATTGTTTTTTTTTATTTCTATATAATAGTAAAATGTTGGCTACAGTGTAATTGCTGAAATGAAACTTTTTCAGTAGACTAGAGTGGTAATTTTTATAAAGTAATTATTGTGGAAATATGTTTAAGTTCTCCACCATTATCAGTAGTACAAGCATGAAATTAGATTGAACAGTGAAAATAAAAGAAATAGTTTAAAACTTGAATTTTGTTATGGTCTACACCAACAAGGAGCAAGGTGAATTTGTGTTTTTATTTTAGAACACCTGCATTTTAAGCAGCCTTTAACAATGTTACGTACATATTTGTAAGAGGACAATTTGTTGAAAATCTTCATAGACACCTCATTATCCTTAGACATTTTAATAATATATTTGTATGTCAAGGCCCATGGCTTTGGTTTTTGGTTCAAACTCAAATTGTTATTTATGGATATAATGTTTTTCTGTAGGTCAGAAAGTACAAAGCAGAAAAAACAATTTTCAGATACAGAATTTTTACTTCTTCTACTATTAATGCTTACAAGTTTTTATAATATAGTAAATTTTGTCTAAAGAACTATTTGAAGAAATTGAATGTGAGAAAATGGCCCACATTCTACAACAGAATATAATACAATATACATTTGTTTATATATAACACCAAGCATGGCATGGCCTGGTGGTTAAGGCACTCAACTCGCAACTTGAGGATTGCAAGTTTGAATCTTCGAACAAACTCGTTCTATATGATTGCCGACTGGGCTAGCCAGCCAGGTGTAAATATTTGTGGCTTACAAAAATACCAGTCAACCCCTAATTCGATGGGACTAATATCGAAATGGGAAAAAAATATATAAATCCATATATGTATATATAAAACCTATATACACTAACCTTTGAGGGGCAAGAGGGGTCATCCTACTTTTTCCACAAAAATATTTGTGTCCTTGTTTCCAAATGTTTGCAAATTATGCATTTTAAACATTAAAACACACTTTTTTTTTCTCTAATTTAATGTTCACAGAGCTGAAAATTTGGAACCCTCACAAAACGTTTTCTATGTGATATAGAGTTATGTAAAACTCATATAAACTTCAATCTCGCGGTCTTGCCAACTCGGAGTCTACTTGCTGAAACTTATGTTTATTGGCTGGCAGTCAAAGATGGAGATATCTAAAAGTCTTTGCAGAATTATGTCAGTTTAGACTTCCTTTATGTGAAATATAAACTCAGTTGCAACAAAAGATAGGAAGTTGTGTTTCTTTTTTCTTTGTTAACATAATAAACATTAAAGATGCAATAAAAATACATAAAGGTATCAATGCTGAAAAGAAAGACGTATCATTTTCAAGAATTCTATCAATATGAAATTAGGTGAGGGGTGGTCTACCCTTGACCTAATTTCATAAAAACTACCAAATCAGCACAATTTGAGATAGTGATACAAGCTATCCTGTATCACTGTGTCAAGTTGCGCTGATTTAGTAGTTTTCCGAAAATTAGATGGGGGGGGGGCAACCCTAATCCCTTCCCCCTCATGACTTTCCTTGTATCATCCTATATTACTGTGTCAAGTTAGGTCTGCTTGATCAAGAAATGTAGAAACCTATAAGGAACAGATATGAAATGATAAATAAACAACCATGTATTTTTTTGCTGGACACACGTTGCAGTGCTACTATAGCGTGCAGTGTACACGGATATTTACACTATAGCTTGCGGTCTACACAGATACTATCATCATCACCGTTTTAACTTTTGTTTACTTGCAATTGGCACCATTTATTATAAGTAACGCTTTTAAACTAATAAAGTACAAAATACCATTACATATCATTTTTGGGGCAAATATAATCAGAATAAAATAAATTTCAGCAATCAAAACTAGCACAATTATAACCTAAGTTTAAGGTACTCTTTTGGAACACACAACTTATTAAATTATTACTGTTTGCTGAGCAAAAATGTGGATACATATAAATTATTTAGCATGAAATTATATTTTGGTGAATCATTAAAATGGTGATGATGATAGTATCTGTGTAGACCACACGCTATTGTGTAAATATCTTTGTATACCACATGCTATAGTAGCACCCACTTTGCCTTATATAGTAGATTGATGATATTTATTAGAAAATCAATTGTTTTACCAATGTTTTATTGTGATGTTTATCTATATCTCAAATATTACTGTGTACACAAAACATTTTTTAAAGAACAATTCACTAAAAATTCTAATATGAGTAATAAGATTTTTTATTATCAAGCAGTATAGTTCATTTAATTGAGAGAAGTTTGTTAATATGTGTTATTGATAAATGAACTGATAAAAACTATGTGAAACTGAAGTTTCATCCTTAATGCATTATAATTTACTGTATGAAAACTACTTTAAGTTTTAAATATTGTTTAATAAATCTTATATCTGTTAATATTTACTAATTCATTATTATTATCATGGCCAATTTAGTAATTTTTGCTTACATATTTTTTGGAATATCAATGAAGATGAAACATGTAACATTAAGAACATTTTTTTTTCTCTTAGGTTTATGACAAACAAGAAATGACTCCTCTTCATTTTGCTGCTATCTATGGAAACACAGAAATAGCTACCGTGTTGCTTGATGCTGGTGCTGCAATGGAAGTGTTTGATGAAGATTTGTCAACACCACTGCACAAGGCTGCAATGGAAGGGCATTTAGAGATTGTAAAGCTTTTTCTGTCAACAGGCGAATCCAAAGGATCACTTGAGGAGGTGTGTAAAGTTTAAAAGGATTTATTGACAAACCTTCTTTTTTGCTGGAACACTAAGTATACTGCAAACTGCAAAAAAACTTTAATGTAGAATATATAAAAACTTAATTTATTCTGGTCTTTCTGCAGATTTCATTCAGTACCCTCATTTTTTTTTTACTTTTTTTACAATGAATGTCCTATACATTTCTGCCTTCTTTTTGTCCTTCAGGTCACAGGTCTTCCAACTGAGGGGTTCACAAGAAAATGTTAGGGAAGCCATAGAAAATACACAAAATGTATAATTCTGTTAAGGTACTCAGTATCTACAGATTCAATGGGTGTAGGGTCTCAATCATGGTGCAGGTTGTTCTTGGGGGGTCATTATGGTTAGAAATTTTGGGAACTTATGCATTAGATCACAACGTTTGTAGTTTTTTTTCATACATATTCTTTGTTTATTTTTATTATTTTTTTACACTTGTAATACCACTTGAAAGGATACACTTTGTAGAAATTATAAAGCTAAAGTCTTTAGTGCTTTTTTTTTCATGGAAGGCACACTTTAAAAAAATTTTTAACTTTGTAAAAGTTTGAGGTTTGGCAGGTGTAAATTAACAATTAAAACTGAAAACAATATGACTTATTTTGATTAGAATGATTAAGCTTTTAGATGAGGTTATTGTGGCTACACAGTAATCTGTTCCTTTTACTCTTCCTTGAAGTGATCTAATTAAATGACTGTGTATTATATTTAAGATGATATCACACCGTGATGAAGAAAAAAACATGCCACTTCATTTGGCTGTGGAAAGAGGACACTCAGAAATAGTTAAACTTCTGTTAGACAAAGGTAAGAGCATGTTATTGACCCATTTTAAGAAATATAAACACTACTACATTATTTATGTGGGAAAGCAGTTTCTGCTTTAATAAGAGTACACAGGTCTGTGCCCAGACTGCACTTTTGCTGAGTTTTTACTCATTTGCATGTACTTTATCAGCTTACATGATTGTTCTTTAATCCAGCGTTTTATTTTATGATAAACACAATTGTGTGAAACAAAACTTGGTAGACAAAGACCTAAAAGCATGGTATATCACATGAATTACTGAAAAACAAAGTTTGCTCAGAAAACAGAAGTGAAATTTGATATTTAATCAGTTATTAGATGTTTAGCAACAAAAAGTTTCTAGCACAATATTTTAGCAAGTCATTTTAAGGACCAGTTACGTTCTAGCGAAACCACAGCCAAGGGAACTGGCTTTGAAAAATCACTGTGACTTTCACATATTCTGGTAGACCATGCTTTGGCATATCACTGCTCTGCATTTCCCTACTTAGACTCCCAGCATTTCTACTCACTTGTCCATTTGGAGGTTCATGGTTACTTTTTCCCAGCCTTAGTTTCTTGTTTTCCATCATGATACGCCTAACATGGCTCATTTTGGTGGTCAAGATGCTCTTTTGTCATGGGTACATTTGCCTCCCTCCCCATTGCGTGACTTGTGCATGGCTCCTTTTCTGTTCCAAGAAGTTTTGGGGGGGCATTCCTGACTCTTTAGTAACCAGAATTGAGTTGGCATGGTTGCATACCTTCCTTTCCTCAATGACCTCCTGTTTGTCCCAACCCCATCCTGAACCTGTTCTTGTGTCATCCCCCTCCTCCTTCTCCTTTCAGGTTCCAGTCTCTTGTATTCTTGCAGTTCACTGACAGTACTTGTTGCACCCTTCTGGGGCAACTGACAGTCTCAGAGTCTGTGTAGTAGGTTCAGGTCCTGTGGGGGCTGAACCTGTCTGCCTTTTCCATGTCTGGTTGTCCTTTACCATAGATTCTTGGGTTTTGTGGGTTGTTGTATTAAAGGGTCTGGTACCCCCATTTCGATTCTCGTCTTCCATTGTCCTTCCATCCCTTTTCCTTCTCTCTTATTTTGGATCCTGTTTACTGACAACATCTTGCAGTGGTGGTACTCGACCTGCTTCACAATGGTGCCATTGAATGGGAGATTCCTTTTGTCTGGGTTTTTATTCCCCTCTGTTTTTCATCCCAAAGATATTTGGTGAATGGCACCCTATCAGAGTGTTTTTAGCTCTGAACTGTTCTTGGTCTTACCTCGTTTAGCCATGGAGTCATTTTTGTCCCTTCATTGGGATTTCACTCCTGGTCTATGGAAGATGATGGTAGATATTTTGGTAGTCTCCCTTTTGTTTTTCATTTCTCCAGCATCCTGACTTTACCATTGTTTTGTCCATTGGGTTTGTGTTTTTCAGTTCCGGGCTCTTCTGTTCAGGCTCATCTTCACTCCCTATGGTTTTTGTTTGGTGGTCAGTGCTTTACCCAACTTCATCCTAACCAGCATCTTTGTTTTCACTGTTAATTATTGACTGGCTAATTCTAGTTCCCTCACAGTCCACCTCTGCCCTTCATACTTGATTTCTCCAATGAGAGGCTGCTTTGGTTGGTTGGTTGGTGGGGTTGGAGAAGTATTTACTCACCCCCACACATTATCTTGTTCATTGTGGGGTATTTTTTCATTCCCTCATCAGTTGGGCCAAACCTTCTCCCCTTTGTTTGTGTGTCATGTAGCTACTGGTTCTCAACCTATCCTTCTCCTTTTCTCCCACTGCACTAAAGGTTCTATCTCTTTATGGATGTTGGCTTCTCTGGAAGCCCTCATCTCTCTTGGTCATGCCCACATGCATCACCTTCAGTGAACTTTGATAGATCTGTAGAGCCTCATTTGGGATTCATTGGTTGCCCCTCTCCTCCTTCCTTACAGACCAACTTTGCCTGGTGGTTGGATCGAGATACCACTGTGAGTGTTACTCTTCCTCCTCCTTGTTTGGAATGCAACCTTTTTACAGATGCCTCTCTTCCCAGTTGGGGTGCCTACCTGGGTGGTGCACTCTAGCCAAATCCTCTCTCCATATCAAATTTTTGGACCCCTCTCAGTTAGGCATTGGTTCATTTTCTTCTGGCTCATCAGGACCAGTCAGTGATGGTCCCTTCCATCAGCTTGACTGTTGTCTAGTACATGTCCAGGCTAGGGTACACTTGGTTGAGATATATCTGTTTTTCATCGCAGGATTTCCTGTATTGAACCTACAGCCATCATATTCTCTTGATAGCTTGTCATTTTCCAGGTGCCCCTTTTCTCATTGGGGATTGATTACCTTGTCTTATAAAAATTCTCCCTACATAGTGGTCACTGGCCCCACTGGTATTTCTGTGGCTCTGTTCCAAGTCAGGCATGTGGTTCTGGATGTCTTTGCTACACATCTGAATTCCAAGTTCCCACTGTTTTGGTTTTCAGTTCCACATCCCTTGGCTGGGGTGGTAACTGCTCTCAGTTTGGATTGGACAGGCCTCTACCAGTAAGTGGTGTCACCTCCTCTTCTGCTCTCTCTTTCCCCCACTTTTTTCAATCAACCCTTGTATGGTGCATGTCACTCTTTCAGTCCCACACTCTATCTTCATAGGTGGCTTTTTCTGATCCCTAGCCAGGCATGCCAGTTTTTTGCAGCTTGTAGCATCCTTGTTTTCCCATTTTGGTCATCCATCCTCCATGGCTGTGTTCCAAAAGACATGGTACACATACCGTAGTTGGTCCATACATCATGGTTAACCTCTTTCTTATCCTTCTCTTCCCCACATCACTCCCTTTCTTAACTGGCTTTTCAGCAGAATCCTCTCAGTTTTTTCAGGCGATTGCACTGCTTTGCCACTCACATTTTGTTTTCAACAATATGCCCATGTCTTCTAATCGCCAATATTTTCCCTTTTTGTTTCTTTATTTCTCCTCACCCATCCCCCTTGTCCTGCCTCTCCCAAATTAGAACTTTAATGTCCTTTTTCTCAACCATTCTTTCCTGCCCATTCTTCGGCTGTTCGAAAGGGTAATTCCACCTTCACACCCATCTCCCTTCCTTCCTTATCACACTTTTATAACTATCCAATCTTGATCGCCTTCCCCGGCCAGGTTTGGGCTCACTGCTTTTACTGGTCATGTTTTCTTTATCTCTTCACATTATATCCATCACCTTTCTTTGCCCTGGCTGCTCATTTCTATCATTTGTTTGAGGACATCATTCATGCCAGTATGTGGATCACTCCCCATCCCTTTACCACCTAATTATTTTCTATTCTACAGGTTTTCATCTTCCTTGTGTCTCCATTTGCATTCCATAAGTGCCACTTTTTTTTTCTACCTTTTCTTTGCACAGACCCTTTTTGCATCTCAGGATTCCACTTTGGGGTGAGTGTTGCCTGACCGGGTATACTTATTCTTAAATCTGCATTGTAAGACCTGGGTGTCAAATATGCCCACCATTGAAATGGGGTGTTCTGAAAGACCACTTGCAGTATTTTGGTTCCATAAAAATGTTCGCCCCAGACCATACACTCATGAACTAACAGGAGTAAAGTATATAGGGACTTCTGCTCATCCCTGATTATCTGTGTCTAATAGGTCACTGGATTTGTCTGCTTTTCAAAATAAGGTGTCACAGTCATCCATTGCACTGTCTCTGGTGCAACATTCTTCTGTACTCTGCAATGCACTGTTTCCCCCTACTTCTAGTGGAGTATGGGAGTCCTTGCCACTTACCAGTTCTTAGACACTGGGGTGATGGAACATGGAGGCTTCCTCCTGAGTGTGATCAATCCCACTCAGTTGAGGGTAGGACGGCAGTGTTCTGCAAGTGTATATGGCATTGATGCTCTTCCTACCATGGACTTGATGTACAATTCCAGATGCTGTCAGGTGTTGGATGATGCATTCTGCCGACATGCAGTTTGCCCTTCTGGATCAGCTTTCTTCCTTTCTACCAGCCCCTGGATGTCAGTTCCTGGCAGATATGGTGATGTTAAAGCTGGACCAACCATATATGTCCTCACATGTGTTTGGCTGGGTGCTCTCCTCCTCCTACTGCAGACTGAATGATACATTCACAATGCTGCCTGGTGATGGACTGGAGATGCACCCCCATCATGCTGTTCACCTTCCTACCTTCTCTTGGATATGGTTGGGTTGGATGTGCACACATGTTTAAGCTGTGGAGGTCTCTTCATTATGCTGCTCTTATAGTAAGACAATTTCTCTTGGGCAAAGAGTATACCTGACTCAGAAGTGGTGCAGTCTCCCACGGGTATGTTTATTCACATACCCCATGGTCTTTCTTTGGATACTTTCTAAATGGGGATCATCTTCTCACCAGACATTTCACCAACTCCATGTAAAATTCTAGCTATTTGTGAGGGAAGGTAAGATATCATATCAGAAGTTAACGTTTTCCTACATTGAAAATGTTTTTATAATAGATACCTCTGTTTACATTTCCCACTCAAACTCCTCACTTCTGATGTCGGTTTTGTATGTATTGCCCAATCTCGAAGTGATTAAGAGAAGGTGCTAGTGATGATAGGAATTGTGTTGCACTCCTATTGGTGGAAGGTTGCATGATCATTTCCATGGTAGCATGCAGATGTCTCATGTGAGGGTAGGTTAGAGTGTCAAGGCTAGTGGTGAGCAAAAATTTGCACATATAGAGGGCAGTATAAGTTAAAAAAGCCATTTCTGAGAAGAGATAATTATCTATCGGAAATACATTTTCAGTGTATGAAAATGTCAACTTTTGTACAACAAAATATATGATTTTTGGTGTTACTTTGGTAGATATTAGGATGTCAAATAAAAAACTAATAAACTGGTTCATTGATTTTTTTTTTCAGGAGCTAAAGTTAATGTACCTCGAGTGAAGTTTGTTTATCCACTCCACTTGGCTGCTATCTCAGGAAACTTAGAAATTGTTAAAATGTTAGTACAACATAATGCAAGAATAAACTGTCTGAACATCAACCAGTCAACACCACTACATCAGGCAGCAGCTTTTAATCAAGTAGCAATTATTGAATATCTCTTGGAAAAGTAAGTATTATACATAAAGAGATCTACTTGTTGTGATTTAACCCAATAATGACAATGTACTTCAGACTGGAGCATGTTACATAACTCTCGTTAAACTTCTTTCCAATAATAATACCAGTGGGTAAAATTGTTTGAAACTTTTCAAGAACTTTCATAAAAGTATGAAGTTTGCAAAAAATAAAATATTTAGTTTTGAGTTTTTCTACTATTTCTAAAAAAAATTCGTTATTTAATGTAGGCTTTTGTGCTTGGTCTCTGAATAGTTCACCTGCAAGGTGATTTTCATGTGAAGTATAAAAAGTACTATTTTTTATCTTACAAATTTTCACATTTCATAATCTCTAGAACTTCCTAAATGAATATCAAAAGTTTTTTGAGGCATATGTTTATATTTTATTTGCTACTTTCTCTACAACATCACTAATTCTAGCTATTATCATCAATGTATGGTGCAGTGAAATGTTAAAAAGTAAGAAATAGAAAAAAAAAAAAATAATATATATATGTATACCTTTTATCTCTTCATTGAATAATTTTAAAATATCTTCGTTGGGTCATATGCGTAACTACATGTCTTTACATTTTCACTTGATGATTGATTTTTAATATTTTATTTTCCCTTTCATTTTCTTTATCTTTGATTATTTATGTCAACAAACATCAGTAGGTGTCTGTCGGCAATATAATGTTAACATTGGCAGAGATGGTTTACCCCCCAACAAAATGGTGGTTACAGTAGTTAACCTTATGAAAGCTGGTTGAGCAAGGCAAAGTATTGAATAAATTTAAAAATCATTAATCCCTTTGAATATGAACTTTAAAACACAAATAATACATAATTGTACATAATAAACAACCTTCTCTATTTGCCTTAGGAATTCCAAATAAAATTCTGGATGACTCCTTGATGATCTTATATTTTTATATTCATTTTTGTGTTAGTAAAATATACCTTTTTAGTTTTATAAATAATTCTTTAATTTTGTTTTTTTGCTAAGTCATTAAATGTTTTATTATCATGCACAGTCTTGTTTTTGTTATACAAAAATTCTGTTTTATATAGAAGGACAAAACTACTGGCTTTATCAGATTTCAATATAAATATTTTGTAATTTTCACTGAAAGATCTTGTTGCAACTTTATAATTGCAAATCCAGTGAAGGGCTGTTACCCAAAACGTTTTTAAATTTGGCAAGTGTTTCACCTTTTTTTTTCTTCAACTATTTTGTACTTTCATTGATATTATATAACATTAACAGTGATTAGATATTTCATTGCTCCATTTTTAGCAAAACTATCATGGAATGCAGAGACAAGGAACATTTAACTCCACTGCTAATTGCTGCATCAAAAGGTCATGAAGATGCTGTTACAGTACTTCTTGACCATAATGCTGACATAGGTGTTGTAGACAAAAGTGACAGAACAGCTGTATACTGGGCAGCAAAGGAAAATAATCTTGCAGCATTAAAGGTGGATACACATTGATAGAATTTGGTTGATAGTTCATCTTGTGTGGAATACATGTATCAACATTTGTTGGTACAGTTATAGTACAGATAGGTTAAAGTAGTTTATAACAACAACATTTATTTTGCATGATGTTTATTTTATTTTCTCTTTTTTGTCTGTTTTTATACTTTGTTCTCCAAGAGTCACAAGCTTATGGCTTAAATAAATTACTAAATTTGCACTCTGCAGTTTAAATTATAAGGAAATCCTAACACAAGGCATGTTTAAACTAAAATATATATGTTTCTTGTTTTAAAACTTAGTCTTTTATACATATGTATATATATATATATATATATATATA